TTAACCACATTTTTCCTAACATACTTCATTACTTGCATCTCTCCATCCCACTGCTTCCCTTGCAAACCCCCACACCTCCCTCTCTTTCCTTGCATACAGCGTCCTCAGCAGCAGCGCAGACTTCGTTTGTTGTTTGACGTTGTGTGAGTGCTGGTTTGGGAGATAATGTGAGCCAGGACCTAGTTTAAAGGACAATGCTCCAGGGCGTTCCCTGCCCCCCCACCCTCTTCTTCTGCTTATATTACTGTATAAATAATAATAAAAAAGTAATTAATTCTCACAACTTCTGAGCCCTTCAGCCTGTGGCGAAGTGAATGGGAAAGTGTAAATTGATACAATGTGCATCCTTTCAGATAAATAAATAGCGCACTTGAGACACAAAAACAAGCCTTTTCATACCTCCCTAATTTCTTCAACAGACAAATTACTTTTTTTTTTGTCTGTGTGAATGTTTGACGAGTTGTTCTTTGTTGGATTTCTTTACGGAACAAAACAACATGACAGAGATAGAGCTGATAGGAATACTGCGAGTGAATCAAGGAGAAAGAAAAAATAGAAATAGACAAATCAGTTAAGAAATAGAATGGAGATACTGACATACCACTGTTTTTATTGAAACTTGTTGTTATTGCACTTTAATGATTTAATTCTAATTTACTGTGTAAAACGGAAACGTACAGCATTTATATATTTTCACACTTAGCAGGACTTTGTTCACAAAAATCATATTGCAACTTTTAGTCTCAGTTTTGGCACCTGACGATAATAAACGGGCACTCGTGTGTTGGATTAAAATAACACAAATTCACAAAAGAGAGAAAATGGCACACTGTAAACACGATAGCCTATAGAATAAGGGCAGAAGGGAGAAGAGAAAGTGATACAGAGTGAGTGAGAGGAAAGTGGAGGTTTTGGGAAGTACAAAGACTCCTGTAGGACTGCGCTGGCCTGAGGGCTAGCCTGCCTGGAGAGCTGATAGGAGCCCCTTCTGTTTCATTCCCAGCACCAGTGCCAACACACCCCACTCCACAAATACTCTTAATCTGCGCAAGACTGGATTAGTTACTCTGTCAGAGATAGCTCCCCGTTCTGCCCAAATCAAAATGCCCCCAAGATGTACCTTTAAGTTAGGCAGAGGTCACCGGGGCAGACAGGGAAAAATGAGCACTCCACATGGCTGTAAGTTATCTGAGTGCTGCAGAATAGCATCTTGCACCTTAACAGATCTGCCTGGCTGATATTCGCTTCAGCAAAGAATGATTAAAGATCCACAGTGATGACACTGAATTTCAGATCAATATTTGAGGGCCAGTCCTGAGGGCACGATTACAGGAAGAGAATAGTGTTTAATTCTGTGACCCAGGAGTCACGCAGATCCGGTGACTCAAAAGAGTCTGACTTTGAGAACAGTCAAAATGTTAAATCAAGACTCCTAAAATTTCTGAGTATGTGGAGGAAATAGTTTTTTAATAACTAAAGAAGTTTGTTAAATGAAAATCAAATTTTCGTTGAAATCCATGTTTAAAATATCAGGCTCAAACACCAAATGAGCTGAAACAAAACAAAAATGAAGGGAGTAAATAACAAATGAAAATATCATGACCCCCCCACCGAGTCAGTCGACTCCTGCTCCCATAAAGTCCCACCCTTCCCCTCATCCTTCACATGAGAGGGCCAGCACAGCAGGCAGTAAGGCCCCTCATCTAAGCAGACAAAATGACTATTTAAAAATAACAGTGATTGCATAAATTGAATTAAAGCGTTTTGGTCACGGTGGCGGTGGCGTGAGGGGTGGCGTGGGGCCTCAGCAGACAGCCGGGATGGTGGCAGGCAGCAGATGATGGGCTCTGGCTTGCATGCCACTGTGTTAATTGGCTGCGGCACATTAATAAAAACTGAAAGGTGTCTTCCACCAGCGCCACAGGATGAAGAGACAGAAACAGAATGAGAGGTAAAGTGGGACGGGGAGAGGGGTTTATGCTGGAGGGAGCAAAATGAGCCTTTGAAGAATGTGATGTGTATGGGGGGTTGTGGTGGGGTACTAATTGTGTTCAATTAAGTGGCTGATTGGCACTGACAGAATCTGGGCATTGACAAGTCAGGCACAGATGAGGACGATTAGCGAGCACTGGAACAAGCTGTCACTCCTCACAACACGTTAGCCATCCTGCGACGGTGTCTCCTCTCCCTGTGATCCATGAAGGTGTTCATGCATACAAAAGAAGCTAAAACAAGTAGAAATTGAATAAAATTCATATTTATTTCAGGTTTGTCCCTCCCTTTGCAAATTTTCACTATTTGCTCTTCTGCCCACTAACTACTGCTGGCCTTGGCTTAGAAAGGACAGCTGCTCAAACTGGAAGACGGCCCCCCTCCTTCCTAAACATCTCACAGTATAAGCTATAAACTTGGCCTGCACTAACCAGAGGTTAATATGCCACCTATTGGACTGCAATTGGAGAACGTGTGGGGAGCAATCCTCTATTCTGTGCTAGTGATATGCTTGAGTAACAGTGGGATGGATTCAGCCACTGGGAACAAGAGAGGCCCCTTCAAAGGGTGCACGCACAAACACACATAGACTCAGCTCTCCGCACCTTGCACCAACGCCTCTTCTAAATTAAACGGCAGATTTTCTGATTCTAGGAGAATGGCTTCAATGAGGCAGGGCCTCTGTGTGTATGAGGGAGTAGCTCCAGAAGGCAGATCGAGGGTGTGAAGGAGAAAAACAGGAGGAGGAATAGGAGGAGGAGGAGGAGGAGGAGAGGTGGGGGTTGTTTGCTAAAAACAGCAGGGGCAAGGTCTAGTGAAAAATGTCAGGTCAAATTGTTCTTGACAGTGTTAATATCTGCACCTCATAGCCATAATTACATGTAAATAAATAGTGAAATAGCTCTCAGCTGGAGACTGAGAGGGGAGAGCTGCTGTATGAGGCAACCAGCTGAGGTCCCAACCACATCCCATATTCTTATCTTATTGTCAGGAGGAAGAAAAGAGCAGAGAAAAAGAGACACGTGCAATGAAGCATGCTGGCAAGAGATGCTCCTATTTCTAGCTTCTTCTTTTTTTAAACAAAGGCTAAGAAAAACTGAGTGCTAGATCAACTTTGCAAAGGGACCACAAGCAAGAGTCCACAATGAATGAGAGGCTATGTGGAGAAAGTTTAGAAACAAATGAGAGACTTGCAGGAAGAGACAAAAAATAGGAAGGAGGCACAGAATGAGAAAATGTGGGAGAGAGAAAAAGTGAGAGAGAGTATTAATCACAGCTATGCACCTGTCAGAGTGGCATCTGGAACTAACAGGAACCACATGCAGCTAGACAACATCCTGAACCAGGGCAGGTTCACACCAAACCAGCCCTCCTTCTCCCCTAGTCATCCCATAACCCCTTGCACCCTGACACTTGACCCCGAAGAGAGAGGTCACCCAGCATATGCCCTACAGACACTTCACCTGTACAGCAGCACAGCAGTGGATGATTTTTTTTTTCTCAGCACAAGTCACCTTCAAACTGTATGTGTATGAGGCAGGAAATCTCTGCAGATGTGATACAGTGTATGCCTGTGTGTAATAGCTATTTTAGATAGGATCGATGTCTGTGCCTATACTTTAATAAAGGCAGTACCACTCTCCACCTTATAGGCATTTCAACTGCGTGGGACACAGCATGTGAATCAGTCTCAGTCATTTTCCTCCTTAAATCCCCATCTTCTAGGATTTACTGAAATTCATATTGGCTGCCTCTGCAAGATAAATGTAAATCACATTCCCTTATATTTACTATTTATCAGGATGCAGCAGCTCACTTT